ATTATCTAGCGCTGGCAGTATAACATTTAAGGAGCGTTTATATTGGACGTAAGGCTATATCCACACAAATTTGCTTAGCCGCATAAATATATGCATAAAGAAAATTATCCAATTGCATTTTTTCTATAAAGATGCACGTAAATATGATTGGATAATTTTCTTTATGCATACGTTTATACAGCTATGCAAGTTTGTGGATATACCCTAAAGCGGGGAGCACAGACTTTTACATAATGCATAACACGTAATGCATAAGAAAATGTATCAATCAAAGTTCTTTGTTTCCTTCCTTTCCATGAAATAAAGAACTCTGATTGGTTGGATTTCTTATGTCTTATGTGTAAGAGTCTGTGCTCCTCGCTATAATCGTGCTGTATGTAATACGATTATATGAATCAAATATCGATTTATCATCTCCAGTCTTGAAAAGTGGACGATGTACCGAAAGAAAAGTGAACGTTGCTATGTAGTTTACATTCACTTTGTCAGAGGGCAGTAGTGTGCGGCAGCATTTTGCAGTTACAGGTTTTGGATCGTCATGTCCTCTTTCATGTCTTCTCTCTGCTATCGTGGATAAAATCGGAATGGATCGGAATTATTCAATTATTCCTTAGATTTTATTGTGTTTTTTTCTAGGGAAAACGGAATAATTTCGATCGGAATTCATTCCGACGTGTTTCACGATAGGTACCTTGGGTATCGATTATATAAAATTTCCCCTAGGAATGAATACACAAAAAGTGAACAAATTCACGTAAATGTAATGAATAAGCGATTAAGTACTTTGGGCTGTTATAAAATGTGAAATAGTTCACGGGGAATTTTTCGGCAAGTAACGAAAATGCTCAAAATGTGAAATTCTAGTTATTTTTTAGTAAATTGATATAAACTAGCTTATTTTTCGATTTTTTGGTCTGTTTTCTGTTTCTGTATGAGATTGCACTAGAACTCTTTCGACAAATATCAAATATATTTGAATATCTATTTGAAATATATATTTGAAATAGATATTGCATGGTTTCTCGCTGTAAATGGTGCGAATGAAGAGGAAGAGCATGCAATTGACAGGCGAAAACTTCGCATATTAAGAAAACGTTTACGTGATGTTAGTGATTCTTTTGATCTGCCCGAAAGGCAGTTCCATTTATATAGGTCAAGTTATTTAACTATAAATTTTACAAATACATTTGTTATATATTTAAAATAATTATTAATTAATTTTGTGCTAATAATAATAACAACAACAACAATAATAATATATAATAATATAT